CTGTCTCTTATACACATCTAGATGTGTATAAGAGACAGGCTACCAGCCGGGCCGCCCGGGTCACCCTATTTTCCCAGACGGCCTGGCCGTGCAAGGCCCAGGAAGGTCCAAAAAAAAAAAAAAAAAAAATCCCAAAAAATCAAAAAAAAACTATGTTATGCAAAAAAATAAACTGAACAACGTTTGCCTCAGGGTCACATCGCAATTCCTCACCAAATTTAAAATAAAAAATAAAATTAATATTTATTTTAATTTTTATTTTATTTTGTATTTTTTTTTGCCCGACCGGGCAAGTGACCCCGGGCCAGTCCGGTAGCCTAGCCTATTATTATATATATATATATATATATATATATATATATATATATTTTTGGTTTACTATATGTTTTATTATGTATTTTATTATATTTGATCTTATAGTTATATTCTTATTCGTTGTTATTTATATCATTGTCAAAGGTTATTTAAATCAAATTAATATTTATCAAATTTTTAAATATGAAAAAAATTGTTGAAATTAATTGATTCAAGTTTGTTTTCTGCTACTGGACAAGAAAAGACAATCATTGAACAAATCGATAGTCAACTAAATAACTTTTGTCAAAATTTTACTCATAATTTCTTACAAACTCACTCGGGTTAGTTCACAATTTTTGTGATTGCTTTGGGTGGGATAACATTGAAAAACAAACCCTACTGGCGAAAATTTCAAGTGGTTCAAGGCAATCTCATCGAGTTGGCCCCAATTGGGTGAGTTGGATACTTTAAGCCACATTGCGCAGTGAGAGTGACGTTGGCTAGACTTTGATTGAATTAAAAGTCCATTGAAATTAATTGTGAGGTGGTGCACCGTAAAAATTGTGAGGTGGTGCAATCAATTTTAGAGAAGCATACGTCATGCAACCCATCGACCTTATGCACTTGGGGAAACACGAATGCACTCTAGCCTTCGACCCTCTGCCTGCTGTTGGTCAAAACCAGCAAGGCCTTAGTCGGAGTGATGAAATAGTACATGGGGGCAAAACGTTGGTAGGATGGTACTATTGGGCAGTGGGCGATGTCCTACTGGCAAAAAGGATTGGAATAAGGTATGAATCTCACGCGTTTGTGGAGAGGTGCAGAAATTTGCAATCGATCGTTTCTGCATCTATGCATGAAACACGTTCAAAATCAGACAGACATTTATTTCAGTCCTCTTTTATGGTTTGGTTTGGGCTGAGGATTAGCATCAAGGTAGTAATGGGGACAGAGCCAGTTTTCTACATCTATGTGTGAAACGCGTTTTGAATCAGTCAGACCTTTATTCCGACTCTCTTTGTTAGTAGGGTTTTTTTTTTTTTTTTTTTTTTTTTTTTTTTCCCCTCTCTCTCCTTCTCTCTCTCTGTAACACTGAATGTTGGGAATCGAACCAAGGTCACGTGGGGTGGTACATGGACTATGTGCGCTCAGACTGCTTGAATGGATTTGACTTCTTAGCAGTCCGGCTACCGTGACATTCAACATGCTTTAGGCAGTAGTTGATGGGTGTACGAGATACGAATGTTTCTACTGGTGCGCTAACCGTTGATCGAAAGAGTTTTGTTCATCGTGTTGTGAAAGGATCGAGCTTGCATATATGCAATGCCCTGCTATAGTTCCAACAATTTTATGTTTTTTCTCGCTCGGTCGATGCGAAACAAGCCTCGTCGCCCTCCAAGTTGCGCCTCCTATACCAGTTATTTTCGTTTTGGTTCGTTATACTTGTCGTTCGTACAAACCCAATGGTCATTGGAAGGTTGTTAAAATTGTTGGTAGGGGCTTCTAGGGGGCGGGCAGTCC